ATGAGGACAGAGGCGTGGACCAGGTTGTCCCTCAGAGCCTCCAGGGGAAACAACCCTGCTGACACCTTGACTGGGGACTTCTGCCCCCCTGAACTGTGACAGAATACGTTTCTCTGGTTTGAAGTCACCCGATGAACGGAACTCTGTGGCAGCAGTCACCTTGTCGGTGACGATGCGGTCCCTTACAAGTCAGTAGTCTGGCTGGCTGGTGGGCAGCCCAGTTCTGACCTGATGCCAAGGTTCAGTCAGGGAAGGATGTCCCCTGTGGGTGCTGCTGTGTGGCTGAGGGAGGTGACACAGGGAGTGAGCCCGGCAGGGCCAGCCCCGGTGACCGGGAGACAGGGAGATTCAACAACAGGTGAATCACCAGACGCTGAAGTTGTTGACTTGCTCAGTGGTTTTTTTTGTGTTTTTTTTTTAAGTTCAAAAAGTCCAGATTGGCCTTTCCAGGTGTGTCCAGAGCCGGTGTGATTCTGTCAACAGGAACACTGTTTACAGTGGCAACAGCTGTGACCTTTAGAACCAGGAGGAAAACCACCCTTAGAGGTTTAGGCTGTTCTCTCCACACTTGGGGCCATAGACTATCATCCCCCCAAAATATGGAGGATGTGGGGCACAGGCAGGAGAGGCAGCCACTCGTTGGGGAGGGCTCTGTCCATCTTCTGCTAGAAGGGACCCCCTGGGAGGGTGTGGCTGTACCCCACTTTATGGCTTTTTGGGATTCCGCATCCACTGTGTGCCCCGCCAAAGAGATCAGGCCCCCCCCTCTTGGGGTCTTCGCAGGTGCCTGAGAAGGTCCCTGTCCAGGTCCTCACTTAGGACTCTTCCTCCTGCTTAGGTTGTCCTCAGATGTCACCTTCTCGAGAGGCCGTGGGGACCGCCTTATCTGTTCCCTCTCCCCTCCCCCATTATACCCGTCTGCTTCGTCACAGTACGCCTTGTCCTCTGGGATGACCTTGGTAATCTGTTTCCTTGTTTATGGTCTGGCTTCCCCATTAGAATGTAAGAGCCACAGGGATTTTTGGTCTGTCCCCAGCTCCTGAAACTGTGCCTGGCACATGGCAAGGGTTTGGTTAATGTCTGAGCCGCAGAATGTCGGTGCCAAGAAGGCATAGCCACGGGGAAAGAACATCTGGAGCAGTCATCCTGCCTTCAGCCTGGCTCCCTCAACCCACCCTCCCCAGAGGATTGTCCAAGCCCGAAATCCTCCAGATGACGCTTCTGTTCTAACACCTTTGGTAGCTCCCCGCTGCCCGCAGGCTCTAGGGCCTGCGGGAGTCAAGCTCTGCCTTCCTTCGGGGCATGTCCACCCTTCGCTCCAGCAGAACTACGCCCTGCCCAGAGCTCGTCATCTGTGCCGCTCTGCTGTCACCCGCCCTCTCCTGTCCCCACTCAGCAGATGGCTCTGGCCTTTCCCCGGCCTCAGAGACAGATTCCCTACTTTCAGGAAGCCTTCCTGATCCTCTCCTCCGAGACCGGCCTCAATTCCTCCTTCTCCCTCAACCCCCCACCCTTGGCCTGATCATCTGTATTATTATAATTTTTTTAAGTAAAATGTGATTTACACTCAGCAAAATTCACCCTTTTGGGTGTACAGTCTATGAGTTTTGGCAAATTCATAGAGTTGCACAATCTCTCTACAAGCAAACTATAAAACAACTCCATCACCCCCCACCCCCCGGTCCCCCATGCCATTCTTTTGTGCTCTTTCGTAGTCAACCCCCAGCCCCTGGCAACCGGTGATCTATTTTCGGTCTCTGTGGTTTTGTGTCTTCTAGAATGTCGCATCAGTGGAATCTCACTGTTGTGGCGTTTCCATTCTGGTCTCTCACTTAGCGTAACGCATCTGAGCTTCCCCTTCGGTGTCTGCACGCCTGTTTATTGCCTCTGACGGACGCGGACCATCTCGGTGTGTGCACGCTCGTTTATCTTTTCACGAGTCGAAAGGCATTGGGGTCCCATTTCCTATTTTCAGGGACTATGACTAAAGCTTCTGCGGACACCGGCAGACAGGGTTGTGCATGGACACGGGTTTCCATCTCTCTTGGGTCCATACCTAGATGAGGGATTTGCTGGGTCCTCTGACCGGTGTATGTGCACTTTTTTAAGAAAGTGCCCAGCCGGGGCGCCTGGGTGGCTTAGTAGGTTAAGCCTTTGCCTTCGGCTCAGGTCATGATCCCAGGGTCCTGGGATCGAGCCCCGCATCGGGCTCTCTGCACAGTGGGAAGCCTGCTTCCTTCTCTCTCTCTGCCTGCCTCTCTGCCTACTTGTGATCTCTGTCGGTCAAATAAATAAATAAAATATTAAAAAGAAAGAAAAGAAACTGCCTAGCTGTTTTCTGGGGAGACAGCACCGTTTTGCGTTCTCAGCCCCTGCTCCCTGTGCTCTCCAACGCTGGATATTATCTGTGGTCTTTAGCCATTTTAACAGGTGTGTAACCATTTTTTTTTTTTTTTTTTACCAGCTCAAGTAGGTAAAATTTATTCTCTGTCAGGTGACCTCCTGATAGAGAATGAATCTTTCCTCTTCTGAACCTCAGAGCCAAGAATAGTGACTGACACATACCAGGTAATAATGCTCGTGGGCTGAGCGAGTGGTCCACTGAATTGGTATTTAAGGAGAATTTGTCTTGGATTCTGTGTGGGGAGGGTTAATCAATGTCCCCTCTCCCAAAAGAACTCACTAGGAGATGGTCTTCCTGGAATCTGCTAGGAAAACCTCCTTACCTTTATGGCTTATACCTCTGTATATCTGCCTGAAGTGCCCGGACTGCTTTCCATCTCTGCAGAGGCTCCTCAAGTGTATCTTTCTCTGTTGTTTCAGTGGAAGGCATTGGTGTCCATACTGGAGAGTACAAAAGAATTGTGGGGTGGGGTTGGGGGGGTTGTAAAAATGCAGATCCCCAGGGTTCAGATTCAGTAGGCCCAGCATCTCGGGGTGCATCTCACACCTCCCTGAGAACTCCCTGGGGGAGGCAGGAGTCCTCGGTGGGAGTGGTGCTCCAGACCTCATCTGCACTGGGCTGTGAAGTCCAGCCCCGCGGGTCATCTCGTACCTCTGAGCCTCTTCTGTAAAATGGACACAAAAATGATTGAGCTTCCCAACTCTGTTGCAAGGACTAAATATATTTACCGAATGTAGGGTCCTGGCACGAGGCAGATATTAAATAAACGTTACTGATTTGGGTTAACGCAAAGATTTTAAACGATTCCTTCCCACTCCTAAGCTGTCTTGTATTTTAAAGTTTTTATTGATGCATAACTTAATGCAGAAAAGCACACGTAATAGAAGCATACAGTGAGTTCACTTCGTTCAGTGCGTTTTCACACGCAGAACACGTCAGTGTGGCCAACGTCTCCTAAAGAAACAGAACGCGGGGCACCCCCAGGCCCCCTCAGCTTACCTCTCATCACCACCTTCCGAAGAATCCGCTTTGCTGAATGCTGACACCTTGATTTTCTTTTCTTTTCTTTCTTTCTTTTTTTTTTTTTTTTAAGGATTTTATTTATTTATTTGACAGAGATCACAAGTAGGCAGAGAGGCAGGGAGAGAGGGGGAAGCAGGCTCCCTGCTGAGCAGAGAGCCCGACGTGGGGCTTGATCCCAGCACCCTGGGATCGTGGCCTGAGCCGAAGGCAGAGGCTTTAACTCACTGAGCCACCCAGGTGCCCCTCTTTCTTTCTTCCTTTCCTTTCTTTTCTTTTTTTTTTTTAAATTTTATTTATTTATTTCAGGCAGAGAGAGAGCATGAGCATGAGAAGTGCAGGAGAGGGGCAGAGGGAGAAGCAGGCTCCCGTCTGACATTGGGCTCAATCCCAGGACCTGAGACAAAGCCAGACAATAAACCAACTGAGCCATCCAGGCGCCCCCCAGCCTTAATTTTCGAACAGTTTTCTAGTATAACTAAGATGTGCTCAGTAAAGAATATTTAGAAAACACGGAACGGGGAACAAGTCAGAGATGACCTGTTAACATATAGAGCAGCCTTTTAAAAATATTTATTTTTTACTGAGATATGCATAAAGTTGCACAAGTGGTAGGTGTAAGGCTCATTTTTATCAAGTGACCGCTCCTTGTAGCTACAGGATTGAAAGGGAGACTATCACAGCCCCCAGAACCCTTCCTTCTGCCCCATCCCAGGCAAAGAGAACCACACTGTTGTGACTTCAAGGGCATTGATCAACTTTGACCAGCCAGCCTGGTTTATAGCAAAGCTTCTCTCTCTCTCTCTCTCTCTGGTGCTCTCAGAAAGCTCTCCTGCATCCCTCAAGACACAGTTCTGAGGACACCTCCTCTGGGAAGTCTTCCCAGCCCCTTGGTTTATCCCTTTAACCCAGCTCTTATCATTCTCTGGTGGTAAATCTCTTCCTGCTGTCACTCCCTTGAATGCTGAAGGGGTTGCCCTGTTACCAATACAGGGCTAGTGGGTTGAACTACGACCTGCCCAAAAGATCTAAGTCCTCCTGCCCTTTACCTGTGAATTTTTTTTAAGATTTTATTTATTTATTTATTTGACAGAGATCACAAGTAGGCAGAGAGGCAGGCAGAGAGAGAGGGGGGGAAGCAGGCTCCCCGCCAAGCAGAGAGCCCGATGTGGGGCTCAATCCCAGGACCCTGGGATCATGACCCGAGCTGAAGGCAGAGGCCTTAACCCACTGAGTCACCCAGGTGTCCCAATTTTTTTTTAAAGGTTAATTTACTTATCTGAGAGAGAGAAAGATCAGGGAAGGGGCAGAGGGAGAAGGAGAGAATCTCAACCAGACTCTGTACTGAGCATGGAGCCCCACATGGGGCTCAATCCCTCAACCCTGAGATCATGACCTGAGCCAAAATCCAGTCGGACACTTAACCGAGTGAGCCACCCAGGTGCCCCTCCCTGTAAATCTGACCTTAGTTGGAAATAGGGTCTTTGCAGATGTAATTAAGGATCTCAAGATGAGATCATCCAGAATTTAGAGCACCTTATATCCAGTGACGGGTGTGTGTCCTCACCGGAGAAAGGAGAGAGGTTCGAGACCCGGACACAGGGGAGAACATCACTGCAGACAGAGCAGAGAGGGGAGGCATGCAGCCCCAGATCAAGAAACATCCAACATGGCCAGCAGCCGCCAGCACCGAGGACAGAGGCATGGACAGCACTGTCCCCTAGACTTGGACTTCAGACTTCGGGCCCAAAACCGTGGGAGAATGCGTTTCTGTTGGTTTAAGGCGCCCAGCACGTGGTATGTTGTGTGCCGCCCAGCCGCTCGTCTGTAGGGTCTGCCGTCAAGCTAGGGCTCGGTGTTTGTTGAATGAGTAAGAACCGGCGGTGGGGGGGGGGCTTGCTGGCCTGTGAAGGGACCAGAAGGGAAACAGTCCTCCGCTGAGCTTTCTCTGGCTGCCTCAAGGAGCTTTGTGACCCCGCAGGTCCCCGCAGGCTACGCACATGACACTGTCCCCCTGCCCTCCCCACCAGTGGCCCTGTTTTGCTACAGACTTCGGGCAGCCCCACACGGCATCCAGCATCCAGGCAGATGCGGGATCCCATTCTTTGAGCAAGAGCAGAGACCGACTGGGCCTCACCCCGGTGAATGATAGCGGAGAGAAAGCGCGCTGCGGGCTCTGGGGGGCGTGTCCTTCTTTCTTGCTTCCCCCGTTCTGGACTGGCCGGCAGGAGTGTCAGCTTTGGAAAGAATCTTCATCCTGTCGATGTCTTTGAACTTCGGACCACTCTGTGCCCGCCCCCCCAGTCCCTCCTGGGCTTCCAGCGACATCAGATGAAAGACAGCCTTTTGGTGGGAGCTGAACACATCCAGACGCATGCGCCAGCCCTCAGAGGTAGGGCCTTTCGTCCTCATCGAGAAACAGACTCGAGGGAGACTAAGTCACTTCCCCTGGGGACGTAAGGCAGGAAAGTGGCAGAGCTGGGATTCCCAGCCAGGCCTGTCTGCCTCAACATCCCGTATATTCAGCCGCCTCTCCACACTTGCTCTTGGTCTTAACTGTCTTGATTTTACACGAGGCTGAGGGCCTGTGGAAGGCGCCGCTCAGCCAGCTCTAAGCCCAGCGGGGACAGTGTGTCGTGCGTCCACGACAAAGCAATGACTGCCTTGTCAGCGCTGGGGCCTCACTGAACCAGGAAGAGCGCCCAGGACTTGGACACGCATTAGCAGACTTGCTCCTTCACAGTAATCCTAACACCGATGAGGATCCTGAGCCCCACAGAGCCTGGCAGCTGTGTGCGGAGCCGTGCAGACTGTGAGGGGCGGAACTGGGCTTCAAAAATCGCTCGGTCTCACTCTGGAGCCCTCCCACCCTGGCCCTAGCCCCCCCATCTATAATATGCGCTCACGGGGCTGGACTCTGATGATGACTGTTGTCTTCCTGGAGCCCAGCAGTGCCTGGCTCCTGGAGGGAACTCAGCAAGTGTTTGTTGAATGAATAAATGAGCCCCAGCAGGAACCTGAGGCTTGAGAAGCCCAAAGAAAAGCCTGGGGACCGGAGGCTCTTCCCAGCCATCCTCAGTTTAGGCAGCGACTCCTACGACTCAATAGCAACGAGACAAACAACCCGATTTGAAAGTGGGCAAAGGACGTGAACAGACAGTTCTCCAAAGAAGACATACAGAAGGCCAGTGAAGGTATGTGAAAAGACACCCCACACCACTGGTCACCAGGGAAATGCAAATCAAAACCCAGACGAGACAGCCCCTCACACCTGTCAGAGCACCTGCTATTAAAAAAAAGGTGACGGGTGTTGGAGAGGATGTGGAGACAGGGGAACCCTCGTGCCCTCTTGGTGGGAACGCACACCGGTGTTCCGCTGTGGAAAACAGCCAGGTGGTTCCTCACAAAATGAAAACCAGAACCACCACGTGACCCAGCAGTCCCACTTCCAGTATCTGTATCCCCCAAACCGGAAGACAGGATCGGGAAGAGAATCTGCATTCCCACAGCATGAATCACACCACCCGAGATGCAGAAACAATGTACACGTCCAACAGATACGCAGTGAAGAAAATGGCATCTGTACCCGTGATGGGTTTTCTGCCTTTAAAAAGCAGGAAAGCCAAATAAATAAATAAATAAATAAATAAAATAAAATAAATAATAAAAAAAAAAAAGGCAGGAAATCCTGCCATTTGCAGCGACGTGGACGGACCTGGAGGACATCGTGCTAAGCCAGGTAAGCCAGTCCGGGGACAGCCGTGGCATGACTCCTCTCCCGGGAGACACCCAAGGGACTCGAGCTTCTAGACTCGGAGAATAGAATGGCAGTTGCCAGAAGCTGGGAGGAGAGGGGAAAGGGGAGGTGTTCAATGGTTGCAAAGTTTCTGTCCCCCAAGCTGAGTAAATTCTAGAGCTCTGCTGTGCAACATCGTGTCTACAGTTGACAATAATGGATTGCACGTCTAGATATGTTGAGGGCCCAGAAGCCTTCTCACCACCCACCCACACACCCACCCACTCCCCACACACACAATATAACACCAAAAGCAAGTACATTGACAAAGGGACACAGGGAAGCATTTGGAGGAGTTGGATAGGTTTGTTACCTTGGTTGTGGTGATGGTTACACAAGTATACACGTATCCAAACTTACCAGCTTCTACAAGTTAATTGTGGGCAGCTTCTTGTAGAACAGTCATACCTCAAGAAAACTGAGAAAGAAAATAGCAGAGGCTCTCCCCATCCCCCGCCTCCCCAGCTGCCAGGCCTGGCCTAACCCTGACAAGGTCTGAAGCCAGCTCTGGGTGGTACTTCCTCTCACCGAGGCCGGCCAGCCAGCAGCTGGGACTGGGCTTGTCCCCAGGGGACATGCACTTCTCTGAACAATGTCGGGAAAGGAAACCAAACGCAAAGGCTCTTGGGTTTTCTGCTCATTTTTGGCTCTGGGGGAGGGGGAGGCAAGAAGGGCGAGGGGCTTCACTGGGGCCTGGGGAGAAGGGGCCAGGTTCGGAAGGCCCACCACGTAACAGGTAACATAGTGAGAGGCTGTTACTTATTGAAAGCTGTGTTTTGCTCGGCTCTGCGTTACCCACTACCTTGAATTCTTTAAACAACTTTCTAAGGTAGATTTTTTTTTTGAACAACTTTATTGAGATATGTCTTATATACACAATTCGGCCTCCTAAAACGTACAGTGCAATGGCTTTGGGTATATTCACAGTTCCGTTCCAACACCTTCACAATTTTTGAACTTTCTCATCAAAGAGGAACCCTGTACCCCTCAGTCATCACCTTCCAGTACTTACATGCCCTCAGTCCTAGGCAACCACTAGTCTACTTTCTGTCCCTATAGATTTGCCTATTTTGGACATCCCAAAGGACGGAATGTTGGGGAAACTGGAGGTTCAGAGCGGGTGAGTGACCAGCGTAAGGTCACACAGCTAAGAAAGTGGCTTGAATCTAGGTCTCCCTGTTGAAGTCCACACTTTCCTGCTACACCACAGGGCTCTTCTTCTTTCCAATGACAACATTAAAATCAGCTCTGACAGTTGAAGCAGGATGCTGTTTTAGCTTGTCACATTTAATCCTCACCACCGCCTGGGGAGGCAGCTTGGGTTATTATGCCCATTTTGCAGAGAGGGAAACAGAAACACCAAGGGCCTAATGGTCCAGGGCACCATGGCGGTTAGCCAATGGAAGAGGGTTATGGGGTAAAAAAAAAAAACAAGTACATTCCGAGCACTGGCGAGGAACACAGGATAAAAATTAAGGCAATTTTGATGAAAAGACATTTTTTTTCAGGTTATTCCTCCTTCCCCCTTCTTTCTTTTTATATGAAAAGGAAAAGAAAGTTCCCTCCACCCTTTGAGGTCACTTCCTGACCCATTTGTGAATCTGTGTGGTGTGGTTACAGCTTCACTTCTCCCTGCCTGAATGCCTGGTAATGTTTTGGATGGACAGTGTGGCTATGAGCCCGTGGGTGCTGGCACCACACAGACCAGTGTTCAAATCCTGCCTCCAGACCCCACTGACTTAACACCCTTGGGTCCTCCCTGTGAAGGGTCCTTTTCTTTCTTTTTTTTTCTTTGAGAGGGTGGCTTCTCTTCCAAAGCACAGTAGGTAGTGTCGCTTTGTATTTGAGTCCTCCCAGAAGGCAGTGGGGTGGGGAGGCGCTAATGTCCCAATTATTTTGACCAAACGAGCTGAAGTTTAGGAAAAGGAGATGAGGAACCCCAGCGACTCCTGTTCATTGCAGCAGACGCCTTTAGCTGTTCACTTGAAGATAAACGAGGCAGAGAAGAAAAGCAAAGAAAAAAAATAAGAAGAAGCAAACCATCTACTGTGACCATCATCTCGCTCAGATATTTTAGCTGCCAAGACACTGTAGGCTTATGACTGCAGGTTAGAAGCGTGGACTACATGTTCTTCTTTTCTTGCGTGACCCCAGGGACCTGGGAAAGCTCCAGCCAGAATTAGCATCTGTTTGGACAGAGGTGAGGAGCCTAGGCTGCCCGTAGTGATCTCCAAAACTTCTGATTGCACGCAGTGTCCTTTCGTCAGCAAGAGATTCAACACGCTTCCTTGTACAAGCAGATTTTGGAATAGTAAATTCTATACATATCTGGTCGCACAAAGGTATCATGCACATGGTATAAATAAAAGGTACCAAAATAAAAGTGTTATAAAGCTTGATGGAAATAAATATTAAGTTGGGAGTATTTACAAAAAAAAAAAAAGGCAAAGAAATTTAACCTAGAGTTAGGTATTATTTCTTGGAAATTGACCCCATCATTCCAAGTGGCTAACGTTTTAAGAAGCCTTTCAAAGATCTCGTTGGAAAACAGGACAGTAAGGGGTCCTTGGTGCCTAGTCACCGGGGCAGGGAAAGAAAGAATTCTATGGATTTTTGAGGTTGGTGAATGTGTCCTGTGGCTTCTCTTAGAACATTTGCAGTCGGGGCAACATTCAGAGTTTCAAAAAACGCTCCGAGGGCTCTGTAGGCGACCCGCAGGCTGGCTTGAATCACCACGGAGACACCCGCGTCAAAGGTGCACGCGAAAAGTTGGAATAACATGATTTCGGGAAACACAATAATGGGAAAGAGCCGTCAACTAAGCAGCCCAAGTAGGCATCTAAAGACCTCCTTCATGTGCTTAGCTCACGAGGGGAGCCATTAAAAAAAATCTTACTGGGAAACGGGGAGATCGGTTCCCAATTCTACCTTCCTTACAACAAACTTTGGGGGCAGCGCGGCTCCGATCCGCCTGACAGATGGGGAAACTGAGGCTGGGCGTACTGAAGTGGTTTGGCTCCGGTAGCAGGAGGTGGTCGGACACCAGCGCTGCCTCGGTGACGACTTCAAACTCCCGGCCGCGAACGGCGGTGTCCAGGTGAGGATCAGTTTCTTTATTGCACGCCCAGCACCTGGACGCGGGAGGCGCCGCATAAATGCTACGCGGGCGCCTGCGGGTCCTCGGGCAGCTTGTCCCCGCCCCCCCCCCGCCCGGCCCACGCCCGCAGCCTCAGTTTCCTCCCCCGGCCGCGGACGAGGAGCCTGGGGTGCGCGGCGCGGCACGGCGGGCGGGGCGGGGCGGCCTCGGGGCGGCCCCCAGGAGTCACGTGGCGCGCGGCCGCGGCCGAAGCAGAAGTCGCGGCGGCCGCGTTGGAGGGCGCGCGCCGCAGGGAGTGCCCGGAGCCGGGACCCGCGGCGGGGGCACGGCCAGGTGAGCGGCCCGGCTGGGCGGGAGCGCGCGCGGGCGCCCGGGGTGCGGTAGGAACGCGCGCTCGGAGTGGAGGAGCGCCGCGGGGCGCGGGCAGGAGCGGGGCGCGCCGTCGGGGGCCCCCTGCCTGCTGTGCCCGGGGCCGGGCGGCGCAGGCGGGGGTCGGGGCCTGGCCGCCGGCCACTTCCTCACCGGGAGCGGCGCCATCTCGGCGCTCCGTGCGGGCGGACGCCCCGGCTTTGAATGGGAACCCGGAGGAGGCGGCGCCGCTCGCGGTCGGGTGGGTCGCGCTGGCGTCGGCGTTCAAGGCTCCGGTGGCCGCGGGGCCCCGCGTGGGGTCTGGCTGTGTTTCCCGGCCACGTCGGTGCCCGGGGCTCGCTGACTGCGGGCGGCCCGGCGCGTCCCCGGCACTGCGGGGTATCACGCCGGTGGGTGCGGGCGGGTGGGTGGGTGGCGGGTTGATACCACGGCCGGCGCGGCCCTAGCCCAGAAGAGACGGGCAGAGTGTCGGGGGATTCGCGATTCCCGCTCCCACCCCACAGTTGGGTGCATAATTATATGTGTTTGTGCGTTTTCCTGGTTATGGTTTGGAATCCCAACGAGGTCATCCCGCCCCATCGCGGAAGCATTTGAGGGAAAACGGCTCTTTTTAACAAGGGTTGGCGCCTGGAGTCTGGTGGAGAATGGGGAGGGGCTCTTCGAGCTCTCTGATCTTAAAACGGACTGAAAAAGTCTGGTGGGTTGAGGGGGGTGACGTGGCACAAGGACACAGGTGGCCTTGTTAATCAACTTAATTTGAATGTCAGTTCCAGCTGTGTGACCCTGGGCACGTTGAAGAACCTCTCTGTGCCTCAGTTCCTTACCCAGGATACTGAGCCTACTCAAAGCTACATTCCACGGCTTTTGAGAATTGGGGCCCATCTATGAAAAGGGTGCCCTGACCAGTTCTTGACCCTCCCTGGCTAAGGGCCTTGCTTGGGGCTTGGCCATCATCCTTAGCTACAGTTTTGCAGAGAGAAGCCGATTTGGGGGCCCATGCCGGGCCCAGGC